GATGAACATTACCGTGTCAATTGTTTAACTAATAATAAGAAGATCTCACTCGAGTTCTTCTTAGATATCGCTCTCAAATATTGTCAAATTAGCTAGAAATATATAAGGAATCCTTATGTATTATGTATTTTATTTAGAAAATTTTAGCTTATATCTAATTTTTTGTGTACTAAATCTAGAATGATTAAAAAAAATTATGTGAATATTTATATAATTTTAATGATAAATGTTAAGATTAAGTTAATTTTATTGCTTGCGGCCCTGTGTGTGTTAGAGTTATGAAAAGAGTTAAAAAATTTTTTTGGTGTGATTTTTTTTTTCACATAGTCTTATTTTAGAAAAATTACTGCCCAACGACAAGTCGTTTAATTTTAATTTTAAATTTAATTCGTTAAAGTTTGCAAAAATTTGTATCGTTTTTTTGGCGTTTGTTAAAATTAGAACTTTTTTCGACGTTTGCTTGAAAACGTCTGAACTGATTTTAGAATTTTGAAAGCCAATCGATGTATTTCGATGTGGATTATCTTTTCTCAGTTTTGTGCGACGATCGGCTGTTTCTTTGTATATAGCAGTAAAGTGACAAAACTTTCATCCACGTTTTAGCTCTCAATTTTTTTTTTTTTTTTTTTTTTTTTTTTTTTTTTTTTGGTCGATTTCAAAAAATCAAAAACTTTTCGAAAGATATTGGTTGGGAATGATACATGCCGTTTTCTTGAAATTAAATGTTGGAAAAAATTTGTTTGCAGATTTTTATGAACCTTTTTTTTGCCAATAGATATCATGGGTTTATAAAACATACTAAAATATTACGGCCCTACTACAAATAGTTTAAAGTTAAAAATTCATCAAAGTTTGAGAAAATATTATAGTCAATATTTGTATCAAAAGTTGCTTTTGTATTGTGATGAGCCAAACATTATCAATTCATTACAATTTCAAATAATAAGCAACAATTTTAGGGCATACAAGCACGTGTCTGTGCAATATAATTAATATAATTACATTTAATTTTTTGTTTGAGGAATTTCTATTCGAAATCGCAATGTTTACATTTAATTGAAGCGATAACTTTATTTTTCAAATGAATAGTTGAAAATTTCATCTAAATACTTAAAATACAATTTAGATTGATTAAGTCAATTCTTGCACATTCGGAAAGTACATGCAACTTGCCTTGAGGCTAAATGCCACTTTCAACAAGTTTTGTTAGTTTACCAATTAGCTGAAAGAAAAGTAAATTGTACAGTAATTTGAACATTTATTTACGTGGAAATACTAAAATACTGTCCTTACTCTTTACTCTCCATCTTTCTCCCTTCGAACCCTATCTAAAAATCAGTAAACTTTAGCTGTTATGACGACTATCAGTATCGTTCCCTGGCACAACCGTACCCAGCCTATTATTCGTCATGTTCGTTCGTTAGATGAGGCGCACTTTTACGTATTCGACTGCAGTTATATCTTATGTATTAGGTTGTCAAATATCTCCCTTCCGCTTTTTTGCTATTGGTTTATAATACAAAAAGGCGGAAGGGAGATATTTGACAACCTAATATCATTCAAATACACATTTAATTCTTTATTCGCCAATTTTTATAAATGTATAAAAATACGAATTTATCAAACAATAAGAAAATAAATATATCTTTTTCATTTTAAATATATTGATTTATTAAAGCCAAGCCAATTCTCGAAACAAACTTCACGTTGACATATTAGCCCGATCCTAGCACGCTCCGAAACAAATTTGCCATAAACTAAAAAAATGTAAAAAAAATAAACTTCAAAATTCAATAAAATTACCAGTTCCACAGAATTCAATAGCCGATGAACATGAGATTAACAAACCAATGAAATTTTATAGAAAAATATAAAAAAATCGTCTAGTTTTAAGAATCTATTTAGCTAACAGTTATGAAAATGTATTAAACGCTTATTTCTCAATGATACAATTCGGGATATTCAAATTTTCTGAAACAGAGCTGCTAGTCATAGTTCAGGATCAAGTTTAAGTACTGCAACTTTCGAAGGTAAGTTTCAAATTACAAATATTAAAAAAAAATTTTTGGCGATCGCAAAATATGTTTTGATTATTTAAAAATTCAGTTGAGCGGAAAAGAAAAACTTTTTTTTTGAATGGATCGATTTAAAGATCACGTGAATTGGGCCGCGCTCATCGAACAGCGCGCGCAGTTTTTTGTCGTGAAAATCAAGGCATGACGAGTATATTCGTCAATCACTATGTTGAAGATTTTATTGATAAAATATTTTCGTTGGTTGATATATAAATATATTATATACGTATTACACTTAAACAAAATATATTCCACAAAATACAGTAAAGTGGGGCTTAAAGATCCGCGGGTAAAAAGGCTCACCACCGAAAAACAGTGAAGTTAAGAATTTTTTAAACAACAATATTTGAAAGTGGAGGGAAAAGACGTATAACCAGTCTTCACTTTGATTCTTTCGGCAGTGCTTGAAAATCCACAACAAAAGCATCTTCTTTCGTTGTTATTTGTTTTGGTTGTGAGTTTACGGGACCTTAATATAACTATAAGTATACGTTATATTATTGTTTTATAAGATGTATTGCCAATTTTAAATTAGATTCAATAGTTTTTATATAACCTCTATAAAAGCTTACACCTGGGTGGGGTAAAAACGACAAACGGCACATTTACCCTGGTAAATTTGTAAAGAAAAAATAGCAAAGAAAAAAGTAAATTAAATTAAAGAAACCAATTTTACAAAAAATTAAATTAAATTAAAATTTATTCTAACTCTACTAATGAATATTTCCGACGAAATACCTAAGGTTATTTACAGTGTTATCTCTGTAAAACATGCATCCATAAAACTTATATTAAATAAAATTAAAGAAACCAATTTTACAAGATTTATCAAATTAACAGTTATTCTAACTCTACTAATAAATATTTCCGACGAAACACTAGATCAAAATTATTTACAGTGTTATCTCTGTAAAAAATGCATCCATAAAACTTATATTTTGAATTGGTTGAATAATGTAGCTAAATTTAAAATAATTGTAAATCGCATTAATTAGCTTCTGGCTAAAGCAAGCATTATATTTTCGAAATTTTTACAGCAATTAAATTTATATCGGCATAGCTTCAAAATATTCTAAACATTTTCAAATTTTAAAATAAGTTTCGTTTTTCTCTAAAATTGCAAACTTAATAGTCAACGGTCTTTGATTTATACGCATGCCAAGTGTAATCATTAAATCGCGAAAAAAAAAATTTTTTTAGCCCTCACCCTGCATTGTTGCTAAAAATTTATCATACAGATTTGTGACAACTGTTTGGGTTGCCATCTGTAATAAAACAAACGTAGTTTGTAAGATATTAATCACAACAGCTCATAGAACCCATAAGTTCTGATCGCTGTTCAAATAAAATTCAAAAAAAAAAAAAAAACGCAAAATTCAGACCCTTCTCCTTGATAAGTAATACTCGTCAATCAAAATTATTTTTCCCAAAATAGTAATGGATTTAAGTATAATGTTAGCTCAGATTATACAATAATGTGAAAATTCTTCAATCAAAGCTTTTACATGAATAAAAATCTTAAGTTTGAATACTTTTAATACTAAATAAAGCGCATACGTGTTAAATATTATTAATATGGCCGATTGGGTACGGTTGTGCAAGTGTACGGTAGTAACAGTCGTCATAAAAGCTAATCTATACTAATTTTGAGATAAGGTCCAAAAAGAGAATGATGAAGCACGTTTGTTCGAACAAGTTTCCATAATTGCTTTCAGTCATCAGTGCCTTACATTAACGTGATATGTAGACCTTACTTTTAAGGAGTTGAAAGTAAATGTTTCATTTTCGAATTTTTTTAATCAATTGAAAATTGTTGGGTACGGTTTGGACATGTATTTCTTGTCCTTGGCCGAAGAATACGAAGGAGAAAGGTAAAATATAAGAAAAAAAAATTACAAAAAAATCTTGATAACTTTGTTTAAAAATTATATTTTATAATATATTTTTATCATAAACTTTGTTTAAATCTTTATGTTGCGTTTAGTTACATTATTGTTATTAACAACAATTAAAATTATAGGGACCGTTCAAGTATTACGTTAGCATCACAGGGGGGGGGGGCGGCGGGTGTTTATTGATTTGCTTATTTTGGGTAAGACCTTTGCTTACTTTTGCTGACAAAGGGGAGGAAGGGGGTAAATAATTGTAATAAATCTGCTTACGTAATACTTGAACGATCCCATATCATAATATACCATTTTGGTGTACTTACCTGTTGTTTTTAACCTATTTTTATGTCTGTTACTACTGACCCGAATCGCGGTCATAACCGTCCACATTCGAGGAACCAATGGCCCTTTTTTGTATGATATGATTTTATGACTAATAGATCGTCTTTAAGGACAGTATTTCAGTATTTCCACGTAGACGATTGTTCAAATTACCACTTAATTCACTTTTCTCCCAGGTAACTGATAAATTAACAAAATTACTGCTTGTAAAAAAATGGCACAATCGTACCCGTACTAAATGATGACTAAATGATTTAAATATTTGTGCGAAATGCGCCTGAAATAAATATGATAAATAATCATAAAATAAAAATTATAAAATCTTTTGCTTTTTTATGAACCCAACATAGTTAAACGTATTTAATTTATTAATGACCAGCATTGATTGTTTGCCATGATTAATTATCATGCAATTAAATATTTTCACAAAATGCGTTTGAAAAGACCACAATTATAATGATCACATATGTCAGTTCTCAAATGTCAACTCCAACGTCAGAACATTCTAAAAAAAACAAAATTCCAATCACTCGTTGACGCTTTTTCAAAAAAGTGTAAGGTCATAACCACCTCACAAAATTGTTCGTTTTTTCACCAAATACACCCACATGAAATCTATATAACAGTACTTCACAATAAAATTTATCTTTAAAAAATGAAACTGTCCGACTGAGTCACGAAATAAAGCAACAAAATGACCGACACCGACACGACGGAATGCACGGATCATCACACTACGACCACTTTTACGACATCTACGACCACAACTGCTGCGACCAGCAGCAAGAGAGGGTCAACGGCGTGCAGTAAGAGCAGCAAGAGCAATGTCTGCTCCAGCGGCAAGAGCAGCAGCAAGCAGAGCAGCAAGAGTTGTAAGAGCTGCAAGAGCGATAAGAGCATCAAGAGCGATACGTAAGAACTAATAATTGTTAATAATAATAATATTAACCCTTAACGAACGAATGTCACTATACTCGCGACATTGTAAATATTGAAAAAAATCGAACGCCGTCATGCACGTGACATGACGTAACAAGAAGTATTTTGGCTTTTCTCTATAATTTTTAATAAGGGCACAATGCCGATAGAAAATAAATTTGAATATTGGTCAACAAGCAATATTAGCGGAATTTTATTCTATTGATATCAGCTCTGGAAATTAAGCACTTAATTTCGAAAATATCCGTCGACTTACAGTCATAGTTCTACAAAAGCGCTCGTTCGTTAAAGGTAAATAATAATAATGTATATTATATATATATATATATATATATATATATACTAGCTGACCCGGAAAATGTTGTTTAGTGATAAAAGATATTCTTTAACTGATAACTGATTTTCAAGGTAGAAGTTTGTAGTATATAGGTGAAAGGAGCAACTAACACACATTAAATGAATGATTTACTGCATTCCCATTGGAATACATGCCTTATATGAATATTTTTCGGACATATTAACAGTCATTTCAAGTTTTTCAAGTCTGCTTTAAAAAAAATTAAAACAAAGAAAATTGACCTTTAAATTTATAAAGTGTTAGTGTTTGTGCAACCTTTGTTTTTAAGTGAAATTTACTTTCTCATAAACCCAAAAAAAACTTAAATAAAATTAAGTCAAAATCATTCATTGACTTCACGCAGGAAATATTTATCGATTACTAAAATGACTTTTACGGAATAGGGGTTTGTGGCAAGATGGTGAAAATTTAAGGTTGTATATGTTTTTAATTATGAATTATAAACAAATAAAATATGGTTAAGAAACTAAGAAACAAATCGTAAGGGTAAGGGTGGCCAAACCTTACCACTTAAGCGTATGAAAAAATAAATGTTGACCGACTCGCAGTCATGCTGATCTCGATTATTGCAAGTATTGGAACGAACATCATGTCACGAGAATTTCATTTATATTTTAGGTGAGAAATTATAGGAATATTCTGTGATGAACATACAGTTTAAATAATATGCTTGTGTTTTTTATGAAGTATTATTTTTATAAATTGCAAGCTGTTGTTCTCTGGGACCTTTTTTTGTTTTATTTTTCTATATTGTACATTGGTTATTGAAATTTCTTCTAGTGACAAATCTTCAGGAGGCTCGTCATGCAGGAAGAGAAAGGAAGATGCTGGAGGCGATGATACCACCTGTTCATGTACAGGAAAGAGCGACATGTCAGGAGAGGGAAAAGAAAATATGACACAAGCCAACATGTCAGCCAGTAAATGCAAATTAGCGACAGCAAATCAATGCTTGAAAAGGTTAAATTAAGTTTATTTTATTTGACAGATCGTAAAATAAACTAATTCTACAAATTTGTTGACGTCATAGAAAATTATAATCCATAATATGCAACGTGGTTTGTTTATTGGTCTTAATGCCATAAAACAAATAATATTCAATTGCTTTTGAGGCTTATTATGTATAGCGTGAACAATCATATAAATTCATTCCTTCTATTTTCAGCGATCATGGGGAAGCACCAGCCGGGACTTTCTTTACCCGTCTTATCAACAAATACGAAACCCGTCGGATTCAAAATAAGCGTCTCGAAGAAAAGCTTAATGAAAGACTAAATCAACTCGAATGCAAAATGCCCGAGATGATGTGCGCAAATATGTTCAGAATTTTGGCCGAAAAACAGCGGCAGAAACCTCCTGTACCTTTACAGTGCATAAAAAAAGCTGCCAGGAACAAGAATACTTGTCTCATGAACAAGGACAATATGCCCTGCTTAGATATACCTGAAACTGATTCAGATATATGCCCAGTTAAGGATATTTGTAATAAAGAATTTGACGTACATAATATGACTTCTCAAGAAATAGTTGAAATGGTCGAGTTTCAAAACTTGGCAATGGAAGAGAAAGCCAGGAAAAGACGTATCAAAGATCTGCAGGCACAAGAAAAAAAGTACATGGAAACATTTGAAAGAGCAGCCTTATTGATAGAAAAAGGTGAGAATGCTTTTATAAAAACCTTGGGACATCCTGTTAAACAGTCTAAAAAGTCAAAATCTAAAGAAACAATTTGTCCAGTACCACCGGTATGCGCGGAAAAGGGTCAGAAAAAAACAAAAGTGAAATCTGGGCCAGAGGACAAAATGAAAGAAAAAATTAAATGTCTGTGTGAGCAAAACCAGGGACTGGTACAAGCCAATGTAAGGAATGAATCTGAAATTAAAAAATTGCAATGCGAATGCGACAAACTCCGCAAAGAATGCGATGGGATAATGGCCGAAAAGTTGCAAATGGCTCGTAAGAAGTGCAGGCAAATTGAGGAGCAAATCAAAGATTTATCTAAAAATTTTGAAGATTGTGCTTGTGAGCGTACTCGGGAATTAAATGATATGAAAAGTAAATGTGACCAAATTTCTAAAAAACGAGGCGAACTCAAAGCTGTTAATAGAGAGTTGCTTTGTAATTGCGATAAGCTGACTGCAAAAAGGGATCATTTGGATGAGAAACTAACGGCACAGAAACAAAATGAAGATGTTTTGTTGAAAAACATGAACGAAATAATGTGCGAAAAAGGATGCGGTGGAATGCTGGATATGACACCCGCAAGTGGAGCTGCTGGACCAAGTGGTAGATCGGAAAAAGCGCAGGCAAGAGCTTGCAATTTGCTTGGCATGGCAGCAAGACTGACTGAAGCGTTGCATAATGTAGAGGTAAATAAATATTTCTTATTTAGCCTATACAAATCATATTTCACATATTGTCGTAATTTACCCATTCATGCATGTATGAATCAATGCATTAAACAGTTTTATGAATAAGTCTATAAATTTCTAATAATATATTATTAGCGATGCAGTTACTGTAATGACACCGTCGCGCCCGAACTCAAATGTGTCGTAAAGAACGTGAAGAAACTCGTGGAGACTGTTGATGAGTGCTTATGCTCAGTTACGGTTCCCGAAACAGCCGAAGCTGCAGTGCAACTATCACCTCCTCCGTGTGAAGCCACTGTTGTAAAATCGGGTGCACCACCGCCACCTCCTCCACCGCCTCCGCCGCCCACAGAGATGCAGGTCGAACAACCAGCAGAGGTCGAGGAACCAGCACCGATGCCACCACCACCACCGCCGCCGACGGAGGTGTCGGTGGAGGGCGAACAAGAAGGTGCCCCTACAGAAACATAAATGTTAGAATAGCTTTTGTTCTGTACATTTTCAATAAGATCAGAATTTTTGTCACAATTATTTATTAGGAAGATTTTATAATTTATTTATATATTTATTTCCTTATTTATTACATAACACTGTATCTTGCACTGTCAAGTTTTTTTTAATTAGTGCTCTTCTAAATTATTTTATAATAAACCTAGTTTAATAAAGTGAGATGTTGTGCAATAACATTTGTACTTTCTAATTTATGACACAAATCATATTTTATAATTATTGATTTTTTTTGTAGAATATGCCGAAATGATTTTGGAACAAAGAAGGTATGAAATCGAAAGTATAGCTGGCGAGGAAAAAATCTGGGAAGCGGAAGCAGAGGCAATCGAAGAAGCTGAAGCCGAAATAGAAAGCGTTTGCGAAGAAGCAGAAACTGTAATTGGGGAATCCTTGGCTGAGGAGCCTGAAGCCGAGTCCATATTTGAAGAAGCGGAAACGATAATGGAAGAATCTATACTCGAAGAAGAAGGAACTATAATAGAATCCATAGCTGAATCAATACCCGAAGAGCCAGAAATTGAATCTATAGCTGATGAAGCTGAAATTATGGCAGAGCCAGAACACATGGAAGAAGAAATTTCAGAACCAGCAGAAATAATGGAAGAACCGCCGGAAATTGAAGAAGAGGAGAAGTATGTAGAGGAAGCAGAATCCGAGGCAACAATTGAAGCTATTCCAGAAGAAACAGTGGCTGAAGAAATTATTCTTGAAGAAGAAAGTGTAGCAGAACAACCAGCTGAAGAGGAATTTTTAGAAGTTTTGGAAGTGGAAGAAGAGGAAGAACCAGAATGGAAAGATGTCATTGAGGAAGAGGCTTCAATTGAATCCAAAATAGAGGCTGAAGCTGAAGTTGAAGCCGAGGCAGAAATAGAAGCTGAAGCTGAAATAGAAACTGAAGCAGAAGCAGAAGGTGAAGTTGAAGTCGAGACCGAAGCCGAGGAAGCAGGAATCGAAGCGGAAGAGGCAGAAGTCGAAGCTGAAGAGGCAGAAGTCGAAGCAGAAGAGGCGGAAGTCGAAGCAGAAGAGGCGGAAGTCGAAGCAGAAGAGGCGGAAGTCGAAGCAGAAGAGGCAACTGCAGAGGAATTAGAAGAAGAAGCTGAAGTGGAAGGAGAAGCAGAACCTGAAGAGGCCGAAGAAGTCCAAGAAGAAGAAGAAGCGAAAGAGGAGATAGAAGAGGTTGCTGAATCTGAGGAAGGGTATGAAGAAGAGGTAAAACACCGTATATCACATTGGATATATTTTTCAAAGCATTATACAAGTTTAAAACTTATGATGTAGAGAATCATTATGCATAGAAATATTTGTTAACTAAATTGAACTGAATTATTTGAGTTATACTATGACCCAAAATGTATCAAAACTTGAAAACAAATTAAATTCTTTTATATTTTTAAGGCATCGATTATGATGAGCATAGAACACAGTATAACGATTGAAGAAGAAGTAGAAATGTCAATTGAGGAAGAATCCACGGAAGAACCTGCTGCAGAAGCAGTTTGTACTTGTGGTAAGTCTAGTTTTACTAAAAGACATTATAGAGATAATCTAATAAAATTATACTTGATATATAAACAACTTCGAAATAGGCTTTTCAACTTGTTTCAAGAGAAGATTGATTGCATTTCATATAAAACATATATATATATATATATATATATATATATATGATAGATTTCTTGGAGGGCGTAACATCAAGTAAAAAAAGTAAAGTAAAGATTTTTTCAAAACATCTTTATTTATCCATACGTTTCGACGTAAAATTCTACGTCATTTTCAGTGGTTCTACAATTTAAAAAACAGAAAGTAACGTTACAATTTGAATATACATAAGCAATAGTAACAGAAAAAGTTTTAACTAAAGAGAATTGCAAAAAACATTACTTACTTGAATTATTTATATTATCACTAACACATATTAATATAACTTGTAAAATTAATATTATAGACAAGCACTAACTGTCAGTAATTTCTTTTTTTAATAAAAAGAATAAAGATAAAAGTGATTAATAAATGAAATATTATACGTAATACACTTGCATCCGAGGCCAGTGCCTAACAGAATATATGTTTGTAAGTATCCTAGATGTGAAGTCAAAATTTAGAAAAAACAAACACGTATGCTGGCTTTTGACCGAACGTCTTGGCGCGCTAAGCAAGTGTGTGTGATTGTGTTGTGCAACCGTGGTGTTAGGTATTCGATATGAATGGGAAACATTATTTAGAACAAATTGGTAATTTTCGCAAATGAAGCTAGTGTCTGTGCGTTTATTTAAACAATTATTTCTGTTCAAGAAAATATAGGCCGATTCTGAAAAAGCGCCTTTGTGAGACTTTCGATTCGTGATGAAGAACCTTTGCGTCATAAAAATTGAAAGTATGGTTATTTAGTTTTAAATGTTCTGTGATCATTGTTTGCCCTTGATTTTTGTTTTTTGAATTATTATCGTGTTGTTTCGATAATAATTCAAAAAACAAAAATCAAGGGCAAACAATGATCACAGAACATTTAAAACTAAATAACCATACTTTCAATTTTTATGACGCAAAGGTTCTTCATCACGAATCGAAAGTCTCACAAAGGCGCTTTTCAGAATCGGCCTATATTTTCTTGAACAGAAATAATTGTTTAAATAAACGCACAGACACTAGCTTCATTTGCGAAAATTACCAATTTGTTCTAAATAATGTTTCCCAATTCATATCGAATACCTAACACCACGGTTGCACAACACAATCACACACACTTGCTTAGCGCGCCAAGACGTTCGGTCAAAAGCCAGCATACGTGTTTGTTTTTTCTAAAATTTTGACTTCACATCTAGGATACTTACAAACATATTATTCTGTTAGGCACTGGCCTCGGATGCAAGTGTATTACGTATAATATTTTATTTATTAATCACTTTTTATCTTTTATTCTTTTTTAAAAAAAGAAATTACTGACAGTTAGTGCTTGCCTATAATTATTAATTTTACAAGTTATATTATATGTGTTAGTGATAATATAAATAATTCAAGTAAGTAATGTTTTTTGCAATTCTCTTTAGTTAAAACTTTTTCTGTTACTATTGCTTATGTATATTCAAATTGTAACGTTACTTTCTGTTTTTTAAATTGTAGAACCACGTAGAATTTTACGTCGAAACGTATGGATAAATAAAGATGTTTTGAAAAAATCTTTACTTTACTTTTTTACTTGATGTTACGCCCTCCAAGAAATCTATCATACATTTCAACATCAAATTTAAACATTTTCAACATATTATATATATATATATATATATATATATATATATATAAATTAATCCACTAAACAGAACCAGAGGAAGACACGGGGCCTGTAGAAATCGATGTTGCAATCGACACCTCACCAAAGTGCAAAGGTAAAGGTCCTTGTGTCCAGGGCGAGGCTGACTTCAGGCAACATGTTCAAAATGCCCTCAACAAAGCTAACAGGGATGTCATGATCGCTCTGGAGAAGGCAAACAGAGAAGTCGCTCACGCCATGACCAAGGCTAATAAAAATGTTGAACATGCAATGAGGAGTGGTCTTGCACCGGTAAAAAAGTCTTAAAAATTAGATACCGATACCGTGAATTTTATGTGTTTTGTATTGTGCTAATGAATTTTTGTAGTTTTGCAGATTCATTTGCTGTGAATTCACTAGACATTATTTGACATGAACAAAACACAGACTTTTTGAACCGACACCACCATTCTTATTTTATTTTTCAAAATGAATAATAAAATCGTCATTAAGCATAAATAACTAAATTGATCACCATACATAAATATGATATTATCCAAAATTCAGCGTTATTCATTTTATCATATTGTTAACAAAAAACACTATTTATTTTTATCAAGGGTTGTCCACCCCTAACTTTTTTTTAATCTTGGAATTGATTTTCTTTTAATTTTAATTTTCATAATGCGGAACTAATGCATATAACTCTAAATTTTCAACCTCCTTCCACAATTCTACTTTATAATAGCCATTCTAGTAATAGAATGATTTATCGTCACGCTTTCAGTCAGTGAGTGTTTTTTTAATTCTAATTCATATTTTCTTGACCTTAAATCTCCTGATGAGAAACTATGTACCATACAAATTTGTGGTAAACCTGTAAAATTTTTTACTCTCATTTATTTTTAATCTCAGCCAATTCGCTGGTCATGCCACATAATAATATAATTTAAAAAAGAATGTTAGTATTTCGCTTCGTAATTCAAAAATTAATGAATGAATGAAAAGCGCAGTGATAATATATCAAAATGCTTATTAAATTTAAATAGAAACAGTTTCAGATTAAGTTGGCTCTTTCAAACACTAATCAATAAGACCCAGAAACATTTATATGTGGTTTGATAAACTATTCATATATTTTTGTTAGCCATTTAAATATTTTTACACTAAGCATTTTATACATACTAGAAATATTTTCTATAGCATAACAACGTTTGCCGAGTCAGTTTTCTCTATAATTTTGTTCCTAGTGCGCGACCGGCGAGAAACCCTGCGACGGGCAATGCTTGCCGCTGTACGTACTGGACACTCCGCCCGGTTCGAACGCGCGCTGTGAAATTTTGTGCTGGAGACCCCGAGAAAGGGACAACAAGAACCAATTCAATTTCCCGACGAGGAAATAGAATCAGTGAGTCCATATTAAAAACAATCAACGCTCCAGGACTTCTCACTCAAGAGTTATCGTTTTTTTTTAAATAAAATTTACTAAGTATTTCATATGATTTCATTTTCAGGATTGTTGGGATGAATGTACTTGTGACACCGTCTGTTTTAGTAAATTTGTCAACGGTTCAATAATATAAATATAATTGTTCGATTATCAAGGTAAGCTGACATCCGTACGTTGAATACAAACTTATACTTTTAATAAATCCATATTTTTTTGTTAGTAAGATAGATTTTTTTTAAATGGTCAATTGGCAAAACTGCACTGATTTTAAGCATATCGAGAAGGGTATTTTGGATACCATCTAAACATGCAACTTTTTTATAACTTCCGACTTGCAGAGGTTTTGCAACTGTTTTGTAACTTCCGACGTGCAGAGGTTTTACATCTTTGTAGTTTATAATAATCAAAAAAGCTCTAGCTGAATTGGACACATAATTTACATTGTCTCAAAATCCGACAAAGAACAAAGTTTATTTTAGCTCTGTGTAAAAAAACAATATAAAAGTCAAAGCCCAAATATATATTGTCATGCAATTATAAGAAAAACTTCTGGTTCAATTCTATCTTGGAAACTTCAATTTTATTTTATTAAATGGTAAATGATTTGCGACTTGTTTTATTTAGACTCTTTTGAGTTCCTTTTTTCATTTTCTTAGTTCTTTTTACAGCACCTCGTGTTCAATCTCTTCAATAGAATTTTATCATCCTTATTTATACTCCATGTTTTTGTATCATACAGTGCTATCAAATAATATTTTTATGTTTATAAATGATTTATTTGATTATTTATTTTTAGTGCAATTGAAGAACGTAAAATCACAAATGTTCAAACACGCCTTATCCCACGGGCTTGGGACGAGTAACTTGACCCAGAAGTCTAAGGAGAACAGCACAATAAAATCGTCAACCGAATCGCATAATAATAATAAAAGTGCCAATAATGATAATAAGAAAGAAATAAAATCTGGTAAAGTAAAAACTGATACTAAACATGAAAAAGATGAAAATGATATACGTTCACGCCGTTCTTCGCGCACTACCGATGACTTAGAAAGTTGTTCTGATGCTGGAGAAGACGTCACTATGATTACACCATCTTTTGAAAAAATATTTACAGCGGGTAAGAAATAAATTGTCTTTGTAACTACTGACAAATGCAAATGCGAATGTTTAATTTATTGTACTACATCTAGATGTTGGCAGTAAAATCGCAGTTCTTCCTGACAACGTATTAGTTCTATACCAATCCTCATCCCATTCACTGACTTTGCAAACTGCTTCCTCAACAACTTTGCAGACTACATTGAATTCCTTGCCGATTTCTTCACTGGTCAAAGATCCGGAATCATCTAGTGGGACGAGTTGCTTTTCATCTTCTTCTTCAGGCGAAACGATGGCTACTGATGACAGCTCATCGAGTTCTGTTAGATCCTCTGTGTGTCCAGAATGTGTATACAGCGACATGCTTGATATTTTAAAAGAAATTACCAACATGGGCAAGGACGTCGATTATAAAGATAAAATGAAACATCATAGGAGGAAAAAGCATTATATCGAGAAACCAATAGGTGAGAATTTAGGAATTTAATGTGGCAAACACCATCCAGGCCAGTTTTATACTGAAACTATTGCAATATAAGATATACATATGATTTCATTGGTTTAGTTATCAAGTTCAAACTTGTTTATTGATTTAGTTAAAACATTTTGAAAAAAATATAATTATCGTATGTACACAAAAGCGTATCACAAAGATCATATATCTTATTAAAAAGAATTCCATAGTAAGCAATGTACAGATTTGTGACCAATGACAAATTTTCACATTAATTGAATTTTTCATGTTATCTTTTAGGCAATACTATCAAGGCTTTGGATAAAATTGCTTCAACCACAACTAGTATTGATAGCACTAGCAAAAAATCAAACCAAATGGTCAAAGTGAGCGATTCGGATTGCAGTTATTACGTTCAACTTGCTTTCAAATCATATACATCTAATGTTGAAATTGATTCAAATGTGGCCTCGAGTGACGACCAACTTGATATTGTTACAACAAAGAAACGCCAAAAACGTAGCAAACAAAACGGCTGAATCAGAAAAGTGCCTAAATAACAATATCTTGAAGAAAAATACCTTTAAAACTGAAGATTTGAAATTAAGCGATGATGTAGATTTGTACCAATTCACAATGCTGGATCATGACGTCGTCATTAATTGCGATTATGATACTTGCTTTGCATTGAGCAATTCCAAAAATAAGCTGCATGTCAACGAAGCAAGTTCCTCGAATAATTGCAAATCAACAGATGAACAGTCATCAAATGTATCAGGAAAAACAACTACCGATACAATCTGTAAGCACCCTGCTCCTTGCGACTGTGAACTGTGTTACTGCAAGCAATGTCCCTATTCGAGCAGTGCTCACAAACGCGAAGATATGCGGAAGGCTTTTGAGCACGATGTGGCAGCTATTTTGCAAAAAAATGCTAAAGCCAGAAAAAATAAACATGACAGTACTGAAAACTGTGATTGCGTTGGAACGTGCTATTGTAAAGAATGCCCGTATTTAGAAATCGACCCTGATGCAAACAATGATAAAGACTCCAGCCCGAAAACACAACTGACCATGAGTCACTTGCAAGCTGGCAGTGACCAGCCACCAAATAATGGAAAGAATGAATGTGATTGCGCAATCTGCCGAAGTTCATATAGCGGAAAAGGCAAAACCAGACAAGAAAAATATAGCTGTAACGTTTTTAGTGCTTTCGATACAGCAACAAACAGCATACATAAGCAAACAAAAGCAAATGATGAGAGTAGTTCAAGTCGACATGATACTAGATCCGATCAAACTCACGATAGAAATTGTCGTTGCCCTGTATGTCAGTGCAGTAATTGTCTAGACGAAGAATTTTCGATCAACGTGCAAAGTATTTTAGCTACAAACCCTCCCGAAACAACAGAAAATTATGATTTTACTAACAATAATTTTGCGCACAATATTTCCACAAAACACAAACTTGAAAGCATGGATGTTGCAAAATATTATGAAATACCAACGGCAGCAAAATGTAAAACTGCAAATAAGTTAGACGATATTCCAAAACTTCAAATGAATACTATGAAAAAGTTGCAAGAGTCTGGTGTTTCAGACGTTCATGCTGGAATAAGCAGCCTACAAGAAGATAACCGAACTTTTGACTCTTGCCCATGTGCAGATTGCACTATCGGAAGCGATACGATTGATCATGGTCTTATTAAAAAAAATAACAATTATGAAAATGTCATTAAAATATAATGATATTTCCCATGAATATAATAATAAGCATAATTTGCATAATAAAATAGATCAATATAGAAAAAACAAGCAAATTGACCCATATGCTGAATTGATCGAATTTCATAATTCGTATATATGTAACGCGAATTCTCAGTATTTAACACAGAACAAATACCATGATATTTGTTCTGATAATATACATAATATTCAACCATTTTTCGGTCCACAAGACATAGTCGTCAACAACGTCGAAGTTTCATGTACATGCGGCAAATATGGAACTTCCACAAATTCTAAAGTGGTTGAACCGTCAAATAAGTGCAACAATAATTCTGCTGAGTCAAATGGTAAAAATAACCAAGGTTACAATACTTTTGGTAACTCCAATAATGGTAAAAATACGAACGAAACCAGCTGCATTTGTGGTAAGCAAGATGATATTAAAAGTAAGGATTGTAACGTAAATTTAAATGGTAGTCCACAAAATAAACAACCCAATATAACTAAACCACAATCATTTGACCCGTGTGCTGCTTTCAACGGCTCTAATAACAATGGCAAGGATAGTGATAATGGCAATGCATGCATTTGCAATAACGATAAAGAACCACAAAACCGACAACAAAGTAATCTTTGCACCCAATTTGAAGATAATAAAGGAAATAAACAAGTAAATGGAAACAAACCATATTTGTCTGACACAAACGGCGGTGGCAATAACGGTAATAATGATAAAAATGAAAACACCTGCATATGCAATGACAATCAGCAAAAAGATGGGAAATCTGATCCATGTGGTAAAGCGAATGGTAATTCTGCCAATTTCAATGGTAACCAAAAAAATACTTCAAGCAATGGCGACAAGCGTAACTTATTCGATCCGTGTAGTAATTTTAATACATTCAACAGTAACGGCAACAGTGGTAAGAATAATCAAGAATGTATTTGTAATAATGAAAATGGTCAAAGAAGTCAACAACAACCTGTCAACAACAACACTAATTGTAATGGTAACCAAAACAGAAATCAAGATAGTGACAATAAACGTGGATCTTTCGACCCGTGTGCTACATTTAATTCTGATAATAATAAGGCACAACAAGGTAGAAATTCTATGCAAAACAACGGACATAAAAATAATTTTGCACAACAAGGTAGAAATTCTATGCAAAACAACGGACATAAAAATAATTTATTCGATCCCTGTGTCAATTTTAATACTTCAAACACTAACGGAACAAATGGTAAAAATAATGAAAAATGTATTTGTAATAACGAAAATGGTCAAAAAAATCAACAACAATCCGATTTTAACACTAATTGTAATGGTAATCAGAGCAAACAACAAGCTAATGGTTATAAATCAAGATCAGTCGACCCGTGTGCTACATTCAATGCTGGTAATAATAAAGAACAACAAGACATAAATTCTATGCAAAACAATGAACAAAAAAATTAATTTATTCGATCCGTGTGGTGCATTTAATGGCGCCAATAACAAAAGACAAAGTGGTAGTAATTATACACAAAATAATGGAAACAAAAGTAATTCATTAGATCCGTGTGCTAATTTTCACAATGAACTTAAAAATGGTAAAAATGGCACAAATATACAATCGTGCGATTGTAATGATTGTAATGGGCAAAATAATGGACAGTATACTTCTAACAATAGTAATCAAAATGATACCCAAAATGGTAGTAATATAGGACATTCTGATCCTTGTGCCGATTTTAGCGCTGGTAGTAACAACGGCAAAAAAGCGAACTGCAGTGAGAATTATCAACAGCAATCTAATTGTCATACTAATGGTAACAAAACAAGTCAACAAAACAATGAAAATAAACGT